ACTACTAAATCCCCTGAAGATGACTTTTCTGCAAGCAACAGACTGTCCTGTTAGTGACCTAGACTTGAATTGTCTGGATTTCTGGGAGGCATTTGCCTTAAATGCCAGAGAACCCAGTAACTCTTTGCACTCCTTAAAAATAGTAAGTTTTCAAAGGCCACCTTAGTGATCTGTAGATCACTTAATTATACTCTGAGCCAGTTTGGCATTTAGTATCTTGTATGTATGCAACCTCTCCAGAAGTAACTAGTTCATGTACCTAAGGAAAGGTTTCTCAAAATGACACTGACATTATACACCAGATAGCTCTCTGCTGTGGAGGACTGGCCTGTGCATTGTGGAATGCTTAGCAGCCTCTCTGACCTCTACACACTAGTTGCCATTAGCCCATTCCCCTCAATTGTGACAACCAAAAATGTCTCCAGATAGTGCCAGATGTCCCCTGCAGGGGCAAAACTGCTACTGATTTATAACCACTTGGCTAAGGATGAAAAGGGCACTTGTTGTACATGTAATGCTATGTGAATTTTGGCATAAAAACATCTCTTAGGAGAGTGAATTATTCCCAAGAAAAGAGTTTATTAACAAATTTGTTCCCAGTTCTCTGTAACAGCATTTGCAAGGCATAATGCTTTTATTACCAGATACAAAAAGATAAAATCACAATGTTTAAAATTACCTTAGCTTTGTTGTTATGACTAAAAAGCTCTGTCACTTTTCTCTTTCCTGTTCCCCACAGTATCAATGCTTGAAGCTTTTATTTTGATGGTCTGTTTTATTTATTTATTTTTTTTTTTAAATGTGATGCCTATGTGAATGTGGGGAGCTCTGGTAGCGTAGTGGCTAAGGCACTTGACTGCTAACCAGAAGGCTGGCGGTTCAAACCCACCAGCCACTCCTCGGAAGGAAGGTTGGGCAATCCTACTTCCGTAGTGATACTGCCTTGGAAACCCAAGGAGGGGTCGCTATGAGTCGGGGCCGACTCGATGGCAAATAACAACAACAACAACAAAAATGTGAATGTGACAGTGTTTTCAAATCATGACAGACATATGTCATGGACTGAGAAAAACCTAAGAGATGGGGAAACACATTTTGCAGTTCTTTCACTGGAGTCTGGTTCTGTGTATTTTCTTCAGATCCTATACTTCTAAGCTTCAGACACAATAGCAGGCTCTATCATGGTTTAAGTAAAGAGTTTCCTGTAAATTCCTCCAGTTTATGTTTGGACTTGGGAACAGCTTATTTCAGAATACCAGAAATAGGGAATCAAGACAGTGTGCTGAGTCTGTTCTTTCCAATCCTTTTTCCGCTCTAAATGACTCTCTCACTTGAGTGACACTATTGGAACTTGCTGAGAAGTATGAAATAGCATTCTTGTTTGATGGATAGGATTAGAGCAGAGAGAACAAAAGTGGATTAAATTTTGCCTAAAGATTCCATTTGCTAGTATCAGTTTACTTGGCTGGGTTCTTTATGTTTATGCTGTCTGTTTTCCCTGTAGAGTTTCCTGTAAACTCTGCCTGTCAATCCAACCCTCATTGCTTTCATTTTTCAATACTGTAATTGGTGCTTTTTGCAAAACAGACTGGCCATGCTAAAATCTGACGTGTGTTTGTTCTAGTTAGCATGAGAAGCTGAGTCTGAGTTTGTAACAGAAGTTAAACCACTGCATGGTGAATGAGAAGGCCTGTCAGGTGTGTCTGTCATATCATTATGAGACTCAAAGAAAAATCTTTCTGTTCACTGCTTCATAAATAGAATCTGTCAATGATAAAACCTAAGAGTAATTTCTCTTTGCAGATCTTAAAGGGAAACCATAATTTTTCTATAAAAGAATTGTTTTCTTTAGTTATAAATACCCTTGCATGGTTATAAAGTAGATATTAATTAAGCTGCCACACTGAGCATCTACAAAGGTCTCTGGGTGGTGTAGTTTGCAGTTGACTAACCTAAAGGTAGACGGTTCAAAAGCACAACACTATGAAAGAAAGACCTGGCAATCTGTTTTTGTAAAGAATATAGCCAACAAAACCCTATGGAGTACTTTTGCTCTGTAACACATAGTGTTGCAATGAGTTGGAGCTGGTTCAACAGCAGTGGGTTTGATTGGGTTTTGTTGAGGACCTACGGATATGTGACCTTGGACTGTCTCCTTGGAATCTCACCCACAGCTTTGCACCTGTTTTGGAGACCCATCTTCTATGCTCCCAAGATCCTGGCATTGGATATCTTATACTCACTTATTTCCCAACGCTGCTCTGTGTTCATTTATGTAGTCATTTTTTCATGGTTATGACTGTGACCCGAGGACTATTCTAGACAATAAGACAATGGGTCCTCAGCCTTCTTGGAACTGACATTCTAGAGGGAGAAACAATTAAAAAAATATATATATATATAGTGCCTAAGGCACTTGACTGCTAACTGAGACAAAATGATGAGAAAAATTGTAGCCTTATGGAGACTTGAGGAAACCTAGAACATTCTAGGGAGAGACAATTACAAGTTCAATGGGCCAAAATGGGAGTGAGAATGATGAGATCATGTGACAAAAAGTAAGTGTGGTTGGATCCTCAGGGGAGAGATTAGGAGAAGTTAACAGAGAGGTAAGCTGTGGCCAGAATGGGCTGGCCAATAAACCAAAACAAGGTATTAAAATTTTGTTGTTGTCCCAATGAGAAAAATACAGATAAGATATGATGTAAGTAGCTAAAAAACTCAGACTTATATTAGAGTTGTGCCCATCTTTGGAGTACACAGTATATGTGCAGTAGAATTTTTAAATGGAAGGTGGTTGTTTTTCCTTACCTAGTGATTAACATTTTTTAAAACACTCAGGTTTATTAGGTGCAATTTACATAAAGCATAGATGCACTCTTTTTCATGTATGATTCTATGAGTTCTTACAAACACATACATTTTCTAAACCACCACAACAATCAAGATATATAATAGTTATATCACCACCCAAACTCCCCTCATGATGCTTTGTAAAGAATCCCTTCTCCAACCCTAAGACCTTGGCATGTACACTAATGTGTTTTCTGTCTTTTCATTTTGTCATAGAAATGGAATCATGTAGTGTATGCCCTTTGAGTCTGAATTCCTTCACTTATCTTAATGCATGTGAGATTCATCCTTATGGTTGTATGTATCAGTAATTCTTTCCTTTTTATTTCTGAGTAGTATTCCATTGTATGGATGTACCACAATCTGTTGAAGGACACTTGGGTCATTTGCAATTTTCAGTGATTGTGAATAAAGGAGCTATACACATTTACATTGAGGCTTTGTTTAAACATAAGTTTTCATTTATCTTGGGTAAATACTTGTGAGTCGACCTTCTGGGTCATATGGTATACATATTTTTAACTTTATAGGAAACTGGCAAATTTTTTCCCAAAGTGGGTATACCATTCTGTGTTCCCACCAGCAATGAATAAGGGTTCCATTTTCTCTACATCTTTTCCAGCATTTCATATTGTTTTGTTTTTCATTTTGACCATTCAAATAGATGTCTCATCAATATCTTTGTTAAATTTAACAACAGTAAATTTAGAGGTCTGCTGGGTATGGATACTAAGATGATAGTGAGTAATGGGGTATGCTTTAAAATATACATATACATACATACATACATACATATATACATATATATATATATATATATATATATAACCAGAAGAGTATGACCTTGTACAATCCTTGTTGAGAGCCCAATAAAATGAAACTAAAATTATAGGGCCCTAGTTTTAGATTGAAGGCTTTTATGAGAATCTCAGTTTGAAGAATTTACTCCTTGAATTGTAGCAACCTTGGTTTCCATCCAGCCCTCCTATTTTCAATTGGTTTCTCCTGGAACTGCTTCCTTAAAGATAATCAATTGCTGAGATCCTCTATTCAAAATAGCAGTGACCCCTCCAGCATGATGAAGTTCTTGTCCCCAAAGCCCCAACCTCGGTCATAATATTGAAAACTACATGCATTACAAGTAGTGACTGACTTTTACATAGAGTATGGCAAAAGGAAGTCATGACTCCATTATCCTTGATTCACATTTTTGAGATCTAGCCTTCACATTGGTGAAATCTTCCCTCTCAGGCTTTTGTCTGTTCTGTGGCTGGCCACTCTAATTTTTCATTTTCCAGTGAGATGCAAAGGAGAAAAAATGATTTAAAATTCTATTGGAGAACATGAGCATAATGCAATTGGTAGACTCTAAGGAATGGACTGAGCAGTCGTAGACATGTCACTAGTTTCCATATCTAGAAGTGTCCTTGTACCACTTTTCTAGAAGTTTCATCCTTCCTCTTATTTATTCAGTACACAGCCTTGAAGGACTAGTAACCTCAGAGCTTTTTATAGAATCTACAGAAGTTTACTACATAAGGCTAGTATCTCTACCAGTTCCTTTGATGTTTTTTTTTTTTTTTAAAAAAAAACAAATCACCTGTTCCTACATAGACACAAGTTGTCTTCTTTTTCTCTCTCTTCTCATGGACAAATTATTTAGCTCACTTTCAGCATAAGAGAATGGACCTATGACTAGCACAAAAATCCAGAACTTTCTATTTATTTCTTGAATAAGGAGATGGATGCAATTTATGTATGTGCAACATCAGCCACCTATATGATGCTTTCATTTTCCCTTTCCCCCTTTAGAGTGTGGCATTTCCTTTTCTTTAAAACAATGCACATGGTTTTTCTCCCCCCACCCACCCCCCATTGGTTAAACACGCTGTTACACTCGCCTGGCATAAGAGAGATTTTGTGCGGCCAATTTTTATAAGATGACTCAAAGTTGTCATTTTGTTCAGAATGATTTATTTCCCTTAGTAGAATCAGATACTATAAATCTCCTGGATGCTCCTGCTAACAGTTGCTGGAAAAACATGAGGGTGGAACTCGGTCTTTCCCAGAGGTGCTTGGTAGCATTTGATTAGCAGCCAGGCATGCAGCCGCTTCATGAATCTTCTTTTTTTGTTTTCTGTTTGCAGATTTTATTCTTCACCGTACAGTATTGCAACCAACCGCATGATTCCACAGACATCTATCACGCCATTCATTGCTGCTTCCCCTGTCTCCACATACCAGGTATGTCCAATTTACCTGCACCTCAGGAGAGATCTCCTTTGCCAATAATAGCCTACAAAGGGCCAGTAGGGCACAATTAAAAGTTGTCCTCGTACACTTTAGTTACATTTTAACATACTAGTTCTCACGTTATGAATTAGCGTATACTTTCAAGGGGCTGTTTGTATCTACATCACTGAATAATAAAATCCACCATACTTCTCATTCTTCCTGCTGAGTGTTTATGATTATTCTACTTTCCAGCCAACATCAGTACAAATTTCTTACCACTGAGAAATTATTTACTATGTTTTCTGCTGTTTTGGTTGTTCACATTCCCTATTGTCTTTTCAAAGAGCACATTTCTAGAATTCCCTTCACTCACCCCAAGTTATTTTATCATTGTCATCTCATTTTATCATGGTTGTTCTGGTTAAAGCTACATGGATAGATGTTAAATTGTATTTCCCCCAAAATAGGGAAGACTATACAGCAGTAAAATGTTATTCCTGATCCCTGCTCTTCCTTCATTCTCAGTTCATGGGAGGCCACAAGAGACCTCAGGGTTCTATATGTTCAAGAGCTAGAAAATCTCAGATTCAATATGTGTCCTAAAGCAGATGTTGCAGCCAATTAATTTTAAGTGCACTGGTGGATTGAAGTAGTCATACTTCTCCCTCAAAAAATACTCCTCATTTTATGTCTGTGAGTTATCAAACATGATATACTCCCTGCTTCTCTTTATCTAATATGGTTCTTTAAACAATTATTCTGTTCTAGTTAGAAATATGCTTATAAATGCTGCCTATAGTGAGACAGTGTTTAGTGTCATTTTGTGAAAGTTTGGAGAGAAAAAGAATGGAAGAGAGTGAGTGTAAGTGTGTGCATGCATGTACTTCTAGTTATTTTGCAGATGGTGGGGGTGGATGTTTTTACAGGGGGTAAAACTGTAATGTTACTGACTGCTATGAATTCAGTGAAGTTTCACCTTATCCAGCCTCTACATACTATTTTCAGTATGTCCCAGTTGTCAGAGCATCAAACTTGAGACTTTATGCATTTTTCCTTAACTGATTTCCCCTGAAGCAGTTTGTTTTCACTCTTTTTCTGCACTCAGACTCTTGATACATGTCAGTAGGTGAATGGAGTTGACTTTTGTTGGAATTGCATTTAAGCTCTCGCAAGAGCTGATGTCTTAATTGCCTTTCCTTGGGACGTATGAGGCTATGTGCAGGTGCTGTTCAGCTTTTGTTCTCTCTGCAGGCCTGCCTGGTTGTAATGTGTAATTTTTTTTTTTCATTTTTTTTTTTTTCTCCCCTCATCTTGGCATCTGTTTCAGCCAAGACCACCCATTGAGCTCCACTGTAGAACGCTTTGGTGACATGAATAAAACATCCACAGAAATGTGATTTCATTTCAGAGGGCCCATAAGTGGAATTTAAGTCCAGCTCCCTTTTCTCAAAAAGGGAATTAGAGCAATTTTCTATATTGTTGATTCTCGCCTTTCACCACTTCTTCTTCTTTTCTTTCTTTCTTTCTTTTTTTTTTAATCTAAATTGCACTGGCAATTCCATTGGTATGAGCATCTGAAAAACAAAATCATCAAGGTTCTCCCATGCCAACGAGCTCTTGCAAGCTGACTTCTCATTTGGCTGACACATGGTACCTGAGAACAGTCGGCTGGCTCGCATATTCATTTTTATTTGCCATACAGATTACACAGGAGAAAAAAGTTATGAAGTTGCTTAATTGTAGTTTAATCCAAAGCCTTCCCCAAAACTTCTAGATGTTCTATTTAGTTTTCACCCTAACTCTTACCACTTGATATACTACCAAGAAGGATAACCTGAGCCTTTGAAGTTAGAACAAATGATAGAAAAAGAGGAAGTCTTAGCAGTCCACCCTTGCCTATTTTCATCATTTGCCAGGGCTTCTCTGGGACTTGACAACCATGTAGTTTCTGAGGCCTTTTGAGACATTAATCTCCATCAGTAATCTCAAAATAGCCTTAAGACCCAACCTGGACCGTGTGGACATTGCAGCCAGCCCCAGTGAAATGGGAAGTTACTTTAAATTTTTACCACATTTCAGAGACCAAATTAATCAGGCCCAAGAATTTCCTTTCTATCCTTCATTTTGAGCACTGATTAGCTGTAAAGTCAGATGGACTCCACTTTCTTATGTCCTAGTGTGACTCCACTGAACACAAGAACCAAGTTCTCTCTGTGATTGCTTTGTGCTAATAAATGCTGTTTGATGCATAGGTCCAGAGTACTTCATGGATGCCTCATCCGCCATACGTTATGCAACCAACAGTAAGTGTTCTCAGTCACCTGAGGCTAAATATTTCTATTATCCAAGTGAAAGCTTTTGTAATGCATAGAAGATTTGGGGTAAAGCTTTTGTTATATTCCATATCTCTTTCAGGCAGCCATATTGTTCAGTTAAAATGCTGTTCCTGAATTTCTAACAAAAGCATGTAGAGAGAAAGAGAAGGGGATAGAAAGAAAAAGAAGAAGAGAGAGAATAAGAACACACTTTATTGGAGGGAATGGCAGTCAACCTCCCAAAATGATGTCTGTGATCTATTATGAGGGCAATGTTCCTGTTTCAAGCAGGCACTCAGAACTCTGGGCAAATAAATCCATTATAGAAGGAAAGTCTTTTGTTTTCCTTCTCTTTCTGGTATGCTTTGCTTTCTTTGATTTGCTTTTGGGGAAATTTTGATTATCTTAGCCAAGCATTGACTATAAAGCAATATACTTGAAATTTAGAGGTAGTTATCTACTAATAGATGGAGATATACAGATAGCAAAGTAGATAGGTGTTTTTAAGTTAACTATTACCATTATTTTCTTTAGTTAAAAATTTTCTCAAAAAAATATTAAAAGTCTACCTTCTATGTGTTAGATTTCTCATTTAGTGGCACAATATTAATTAGCCCAAAGTTTTAAAATATTACATGTATGATTAGACTATGGATTTAAGGATAAGGATTCCATCTGTCTTTGTCTTGATCTTCCAGGTGTTCTAGCTCTGTAGGGTGTCAAATAGAGAGATTTCAATAGCAGCACACTCAAGGGAGTGACAGGAGAAAGATCCCTAGACTGTTTTGTGACAGGGTCTTTGGTGTACCCTCCTGGGTATGCTCACATCTGTGCCATTGTTTCCTTGTATGTTCCTATACCGAATGGATTTTGGGGCAGCCCAAATGAGAGAGCATATAATTCTAGAACAACAATTCTAGAAGTAGGACATACTATCATCATTATTGTTGGGTGTGTCAGTTACAAAGATGCAGTGTTAACATTTTAACCCTTTCATAAGCTATCTTTAAGTAAGGTGAATGAAAACCATAGCCGTCAAGTCAATTTTAACTCATAGTGACCCCATAGAACAGAGTAGAACTGTCCCAAGGCTGTAATCTTACAGAAGCAGATTGTCACATCATTCTTCTGCAGAGTGGTTGGTGGGTTCGAACCACTGACCTTTCAGTTAACAGCCAAGCGCTTTATCCACTGTGCCACTAGGGCTCCTTTTAAATAAAGTACCACATATTAAAGACCAGGCAGCTAAATGGACAGACTTGTATTTTTTGGATTCAAAGGATCAATTCCAGCTCCTGGTTTTCATATTTGAGCTTTGTCCATATATTTTTTTTAAAAAATAAAGAACTTTCCATGTTGCTCTTACTATTTCAGTATTTTGTTTTTATTTAAAAATTAAAAATATGTACCTTACCACAGCAGAATGCGGGGTCATATCCCTGTATTTACTATTATTTCCACACCTTTCAGACTTATTTGACTGCTAACCAGAGGACTGGTGGTTCAAACCCACCAGCCACTCCTCGGAAGGAAGATTGGGCAATCTACTTTTGTAGAGATACTGCCTCAGAAACCCAAGGAGGGGTCGCTGTGAGTCGGATCCGACTTGCCGGCAGTGAGTTTGGCTTGGTTTTGGTTGGGACTTACTAAGTCCGTCTTATCTATGTTCTATAAATCATACCAATGAATCATATCATTGAATCATATCAATGCAATGAATACAGGCTACACATTTCTGTCCAAATCATGAGGTAAAATTTAGCATGGGCTGCCAAACCAAGATATAGGAAAGGTTGGGTCAACACAGGAAAAGGGAAGAAGTTCTATCATATAAAAAGGAGACTTTCTAGATAGAAACAACCACCTTCCACAAAAATCATGTGTTCATCTGTGCAGAGAGCAATAATGCTAGTTTAGTCTTCACGCTGAGGCTAAGCATCGTCTTTTTGTGGCCAGAAGGAATGCACATCTGAAAAAAATCTGAATAGTTTGCCAGATGTCAAAGTATGTAAGATTCTACAGTACTTCTGTAGCTGTGAGGAGAAGTGAAGATGGTTGTGTGGATCTTAATTTCAGCAGTCACTCAGGACCTTGGCAACATTTTTCATGTACATCCTCCTCCATCCAAACACAACTTCAGCCCCATGTTTGGATATATTATTTCTCACACATCTTTCTGTAGCAATATCTGTGTGTGTGTGTGTGTGTGTGTTAATTTCTGCCATTCCATCTCCCTTGCTATGGCTATGACTCACTGTATAACTTCCCATGACAACACTGTGCATCACATTTGAGCTTAGACTACTTATTTAAACAAATTTGTGACTGGGGTGACTTCTGGGAAAGGGAGTGGCTAAACCACCCACCACTTTGTTGTCTTTAAAGTGGGACATTTGCTAAACAACATTATGGGAACAAATTTGTTGTCATTTGTCTTTACCCTGTGACAATTTTGCTGTTTCTATGTTATGTAAATAATGTTATCAAACAGGCCTTAGTTTCTCCATCATTAAGTGGTGTCAAATTAAACATTTTGTGATGTTAAAATATAAGAATACTGAAGCCACCTAAGGCTGAGAAACAAAATAACTGGGCCTGAAAAGAATCTGAATATCACTTCCATGAAAATGCCAAATAGTATAATGCAATGTAAAACGATATAATTGAATGCACCTGGGCTTACATGTGGCACAATAAACATTGCATGAATGAATGAAAGTTTGAATGAATGGATGACATGATTGTTAATAGCATGGATGTTTGGTTAGGCTTTTGGGACAAAAAATCTTTACTAGGAAACTACCTTGGATAAAATACATAGACTTCCAAAGTCTCGGTTTCCATATCTGTAACATGAGGATAATAATGCCTAAGTAATTACGTGTTTTGATCATTAACTCAAGTAAAATATTTAAGCTTTTCAAATAGTCCTAGCAAATGGAAAACCCTTGAAAAATATTATTAATACTTAGTTATGTGGATAGACCTAACATTATACTTTAGGAAAATTGCATAAAATAAATACAGGTATAGAAAGAAATTTGGGAATAAGCAAAAATCACTTATTTCTAGTGCATTCATACTGCTTATTTAATTTATGTTGTCACTAAGTTTAGTGGAGGTAGCTTCTGTGGCTATAAATAAAATCAATCACCTTGATTAGTAATTAATTCACTTCTTACTAAGTAATTCAATACCTAACACTGAAATAAAAATTTTAAAATGTCCATTAGAAACTTAATTTATGTCAGTAACTAGAACCTACTTCCCAAATAAATTCAATGTGTTAATATCTATGTGTCTCAAATATGTTACCCATCATTCCAATTTGTTTGTAACTTTTCTCCTCTATCATATTTTCCTTACTCCTACTCTGAGAAGATCTCATGTGAAATTCTCACCGTGTAGTCATAGTCCATCCCTATCATCATGACTCACATTGACTCCTGCTTTGGAGAAAGAAAGCTTTGCCTCCACCAGACCCTGCAGGTTATCTCTCAGGCTTGACTTTAAGGGCTCTAACTTCACATTTTGATTTGTATCAAAAAAGAAAGCAGTGAGTCAGGCAAGTGTGTTAGAGTACCGCACAGTGCCCTTGGTCTCTCCTGGAGCAAATGAATGGTTAAACTGGAGGGTTAATAATTAGTAAGAGAGAAATGAAATGACCCAAACAAGGGAAGGGAACAGTGAAGGGACAAGAGAACAGAAACATAAGCACATAGCTTACTTTGGTTTGCCACTGAAGTTTGCTCTTCTGGAGATGTAGTTTTCTAACTTGTGCACAGTCTGCTTTTCTGTAGATTTAGAAATAAAATGGGAGAGGATTTTCACTTTGAAAGAGATGGTGACAATAATCTCCTTGCCCAGGTTCTAACCAACCCATCATACTGTGTCTGTGCAAGACAGCATCTCTGTCAGGTATTAGACCCTGGAAAACTGTCAAACCCCACTTAAGGCAGCAAGAGCATCTCTGTTTGCACTTTGTTGTTGGTCTCCTGAACAAAGACTAAGGAGACAGTACTGTTAGACTAAATTAGGATTCATGCTTTGCTGTGAAGAAGCCAAAATGCTGACTTAGTCTGTGCAATTGGTTATTTGTTTCTGCTTCTCAGTACAGGGTTCTGTACTATATTCTGAAATCTCACTATTACATACTGACAGAATTTTAATAGATGATGGAGTGCACCAAATATCTTTTCTGCATAGCAGCAGAATGTCACATTGAAATCTCATATTAATGCACAATTGCAGTTCTCATGTTGCTCTATATTGGACACTTTGTCAAATTTGTGCTACTGACAAGGAGAAAAGATGATCATTCTGGAAAAGAAGCATAGTTCTATTCCCTTAAATTCTATTCAGGCTCATTTGAATCATAAATCTTCTTTTTTTCATATAGTTATTTTATCTCAAGGAGAAAGGTCAGCTTTCATTTTGACTTAATTGCAAGTGTGTTATCTAATTATAGTTTTCTAAGAAATATATTGAATCAATGACTAGTTTGTTGTGATGCGGGGCTAAATTATGATTTTTATGATTAATAAACCCCATGTTTGAAGCTGAAGAGCAGATAGAAACTTCCCCTGTACTACAAGGCTCTTCAAGAAAGCTACAGAATGCTTGATTTGGCCATTCTTTACTTGCTTACACATTAACAAATGAGTTTTAGAAGTTGTGTCCATCAAAATTACAGGTGTGTGTTCTGTAAAAGTGTATCACTGAATTTGGAAAGGGTGTTAGTAAACAGAAAGCTGTTCTTTAAAAAGCATGATTTTCAGGTGGCTCTTTACTCTAAAACCCGACCTAAGCAAAGTCATGCCCTTTAGGGTTTGATTATCAGAGTACCAAGTGCAAAATGCTTTTGGTTTCTAATGAGTCAAATCAAGCTGGTAAATACATATGCTTATCGCCCAAGTCTTATTTAAATAAATAGCAAAAAATAAAAAACCACCCACCACCCTAATCTATATATACTACTTCTATTGAAA